GTTCTTTGTGTTCTTCCTTAAATCCACGTTCAATTCGTGAAGATTGGGCCACCACACCATAGGGTTTGCCTCGTATCAAACACCTTACAATCTAAGCTAATATATGGTTGTGAAATAAGTGGACAGGGTAGTTTATTATACCATATTGTAGTGCCAACTCTCTACTCCGTCAAACAAAAAAGATGACAACATCCACTAGATGCGCCAATCGCATATGACATGACATCCTCTTAAAAACGCCAAAACGAATGGCCTGACTAAAGTGTTTTAAGTTTCAAAAGGGGCCGCGAGGGAAAATAATGCTAATAGTCACCTTTTGACGCATGGGGCAATTTGAGCCGGCATGCCATGGGTCACAACTACAATTAGTACACTGTCACTGAAGAACGTGTCCCCTATTTGTTTCTCTTGATGGCCTTTCTTCTCTAGTTGAGGAAGGAATATCAAATGTAACCCCGGTCAAGGTGTGTCGATGAGCGTCAGGCATATCGCACCTATTATTTGCAGACGGCACCTTACTATTCTTTGAGGCTAAACATGAGCAAGCAGTCCCCGTTAAGAATAATTTGAACAAGTATGCTTTGGCCACAGGTAAGTTAATGAATAACATTAAGTGCTCAATTATGTTTGGCTCCGCCTGCCCATTGGTTTAATAGATTGATATCCATGATACCCTAGGGATAGAGACAATTGGTTTTGAAGAACGGTACCTTGGCTTACCCACTACAGATGGGCGTATGGTGAGAGGCAAGTTTGAGATACTATTATGGGGCTGCCTGTCACAAGGTGGTAAGGAGGTTTTTATAAAATCTATAGCGCAGCCCATATGCGCATTCATCATGAATGTCTTTAAGCTCCCGCTAGGCCTATGTGACGATGTAAACCAGATGGTTAGGAACTATTGGTGGGGCTCTGGTAAGGGGAAAAGAAAGGCTCTTTCTGAGACAACGGCAACAACAAAGCCTTTAGTCCCAAACAAGTTGGGGTAGGCTAGAGCTGAAACCCATAAGATCTCGCAACCAACTCATGGTTCTGGCACATGGATAGCAAGCTTCCACGCGACCCTATCCATGGATAGTTCTTTGGTGATACTTAGCTCAGTCCATATGCACATTCATCATGAGTGTCTTTAAGCTCCCGCTAGGCATATGTGATGATCTAAACCAGATGGCTAGGAACTATTGGTGGGGCTCTGAGAAGGGGAAAAGAAAGGCTCTTTCCGAGATTTCTATCTATTTAATCAAGCTCTTTCTCAAAAACTCACTCCAACAACAACAAAGCCTTTAGTCCCAAACAAGTTGGGGTAGGCTAGAGCTGAAACCCATAAGATCTGGCAACCAACTCATGGTTCTGGCACATGGATAGCAAGTTTCCACGCACCCTTGTCCATGGCTAGTTCGTTGGTGATACTGCAGTCCTTCAAATCTGTCTTTACAGACTCCTCCCGTTAGTCAAAAACTCACTCCAGCATCCGCAAAGTCTAACCGAACTATCCCTGCTACTTTGTTGCTAGACAGACATGGCGGCTACTTGCATTCCCGGGTAGCCTATGTATGCTGAGAGTAAAATACTACCCCCATGGCAGATTAGAGGACACCGTACTCTCAAGGAACCCTTCATCTTCATGGCAAGGCATAGCTCATGGGCTTCAATTATTGAAAAAGGGCTTGGTTTCACGCATTGGAAATGGCACACAAGTTAGAATTTGGTGGGACAGATGGATTCCATGAAAGTATTCATAAAGTGATTTCAGCAAAAGGAAGATGCAGACTTCAATGGGTTTTCAAGCTAATGGACATCAATGGTGCTTGGGACACAAATATTGTTCGCCCGCTTGACACCGAGGAGATTTTGAAAATAAAAACTTGCTCCCGACATGCTAAAGATTTCATTGCTTGGGCAGGCGAAAAATCTGGCAACTTTATGGTCCGAAGTGCAAATCGAATGGCGTTGGAAGAGAAAAGTCACACTGCTCAGAGTTCTTTGAGCTCCTAGCCCAGCGGCGACAGGTCTATGTGGAAGCGGGTCTGGGCAAGATTAGCACCACCAAAGGTCAAAGTTTTTGCTTGGAAACTTGCTTCAAATTCGCTGCCAACTTGGGACATTAAGCTCTCTAGGAACTTGGAAGTTAATGATGGTTGTCCATTATGTTCAGCTGATCGTGAGGACTCCTTTCATGCCATGTGCCGCTGTACTTTGGCTAGAGCCCCGTGGAAGGACATGTCGACCTCCTGGTCTTTACCGGATGTATCATGCTAGTCGAATACACGACCTGAATGGATTTTCCACCTGCTATGTGACTTGACAAAAACCATGAGACTCAAGGTTCTAATGTTGTTTTGGAGAATATGGGTATAACTCCGCCTATGTCTTCTAGGCATAGCCGGTCCCAAGCCCGAGTAAAGGAGGAGGGTTGTGATAGGCTTGGCGAGCCAACGTAAAAACTAGCCAGTCCCATGGGTATGAAACCCATTTGAGCGAGAGTAGTACTAGGATGGGTGACCTCCTGGGAAGTCCTCGAGAAAGGGTTTCATATCTAAGGGTTGTGATAGGCTTTGCGAGCCAACGTAAAAACTAGCCAGTCCTTTGGGTATGAAACCCATTTGGGCGAGAGTAGTACTAGGATGGGTGACCTCCTGGGAAGTCCTCGTGAAAGGGTTTCATATCTAGCCTACCCCAACTTGGTTGGGACAAAGGGCTTATTAAGTAGCAAGTAGTAGTAGGAGAATATGGGTATGTACAAAATGAGACGCATGGGAAGGTTGTACCACTTGTTGATGTATCCAGAAGGTTTCTTTGCAGCTTTGTTTCCTCGATCCTCAACATCTCTCAAAACCATGAATATGATCTAGTGCAAGGGAAGGGCGTTCTGGACGAATGCGAAGCACCTGGGCTCGCTGTGGCATATCCTGCTGCTCCGCTCATAGAACTCAAATGGGAACCTCCGCATGTTGGTTGGATTAAGTTAAATACAAATGGACCGTATCTGCCCTCTGAGGGTTCAGCGGCAACCGATAGGGTGCTCAGAGACTCAAGTGGAGCGATCATATTTACAACATGCCGCAACCTAATCAAATGTGATAATGCCCTTGAGTTAGAACTGTCAGCAATCTCTCAAGGTGTATCTTTAGCTCTACAATGGAGTAATCTACTTATCAATGTAGAATCGGGCTGTCTTGACTCTTGAGACCGTCAACTTGTTGATAAGCAAGAAAATTGGTAGGTCAAAGAAACTGAAACTCAATCCCGAGATATGCCAGCCAGAATGCCGCAGGCTTGGAAGGAGGTAACGTGAGGCAGGGTTGACAGATTATCCAAACCCGGGCAATCTTAGTTTGTCTATTCCTCCTAGCTTGCGAAATTCCGATCTGCACCTCGGATTCGCAATAGCGGCAAAGAAAAAGGAAGGGGCAGGTTGGCCTTCACTTTTTGAGACTTCGGCCCCGTTTGATAACAAAGTATTTCCTAAGTATTCTCAAAATACTACAGCTTTTTATTACTGTTGTTTTATTTACAAAGGGTTGTTTGGCTGCCTCTAAAAAACTGTGATTTTAATACTGCAGCTTTTACCAAACCACAATATTTTCTCTGTATATAAAAAAAAGAACCCCATACCTCTTTTTAAAAAACTGAGCAGCCGAAAAGAAGGGTCGGATGGAGCTTAAGCAATAGGCAGGGTGCAAGTACAAATTGTCTCAGCTAAGGTCTGTTAGTCGTTCGTTACCTGCGGCTGCAGTACTTGAACACTCTGCTTCTTTCATCAGCGCTGGCAAAAAACTAACATGGGAATTTTTCTCTCTTCCTTGATGTCTATATGATGATTCAAAGGATGTTTTCATCACATTTTACTAGGTGGTAAATGTTTTGTTTGATTTTCATAGACCAGCTGTGTGAGGTGCTTATGTTACACAAAAGAATGTTAGAGCCAAAATCTATATGTTCGATTCATGTGCCCTCTCCTTGCAAATGTCTAGTATGAAGGTGTTTAAGTACCTCAGATTGCTCAAAGGTCATCTGCTAATTACTACGCCGCCGTCGATGCCGCTAATCATCATTAGTCTAATCGATCCATATATTCTAGTACCACGATGGCTAGCTAGCTTCGAATGCATGCATGGCTAACGGCTAGCCAGGAAATTTTACAGCGTTTTGTGACGTAGCCAAACAAGTAGTCTGTATCGTGAATACTTCAAAAAACGTTGCTATATTAAAACCATGGTATTTTGTACCTACAGGCTAAATTATTGTAGTTTTTGATACTTTGGTTTTTATAGTACTTTGCTACCAAACAGGGCTTTCCTCTAACTTTCTTGGTCCGGGAGATCCAAAGGAAACTACTTGAACGGATACTGGTATTACTCATATACGTCGCACTCAAAACAATGTAAGCCATTCTATGGCAAGTTATTGTAGAGTTTAGAGCCGCAAGGCTGTTTGGTTAGGTTCAGGACCTGATGAGGTCAAAAAACTGTGAATCTGATTGTAACCCTACTGCTTGAGTAGTACAAGCATCTCCCCGCAAAAAAAAAACTGAGCATGTCTACAACTAATGACCAAATATGCAAAGCAGCTGAATATTGCCAAAAGTGATTGTAACTGAAGAACATTCTACTACCTAAGCAGCGCAAAAATCTACAACTATTTCACATGAAACTTAATAATATATATGCGGATGCAAACAATTAGAATATGTCCACTCCCTAAGCTGCACAAGAATCTACTTCATATGAAAATGAAAAATATTGTATATGCGGATGCAAAGAACTACTACCTCCGTTCCATAATGTAAGACGATTTTTGACTCTAGTGTAGAGTCAACAATGTCTTACATTATGGGCCGGAGGGAGTAGGAAAAAAGAGGCTGAGTGCATTGGAGAAGAGGAAAAACAAATCGTGCTCTAGCATCTTCTGCGACTCTGATCTGTGCCAAGTTATAGAACTGCCCAAAGTTCATGAATTAGCAAACTTGCTCAGAAGGTGAGAAAGTAACAGCAAAGTACCTGTTTCGCGAGCGAGCACGCACGATCAGGCGAGTTGAGGATCTCATAGTAGAACACGGAGAAGTTGAGCGCGAGGCCCAGCCTGATGGGGTGAGTCGGTGGCAGCTCCTTCATGGCTATGTCCTAGAGCAAGGAACCACCCAAGATCCAAAAAAAAGTCAAACCGCTCATCAGAGGAAGGGAGAAAAGCTAGTTAAAGATAGGGGGATACCTGAGCGGCCTGGTAGGCACCGAGGGTGGAGTCAGCGGCATCCTTGCGCTCGGCGGCCGACTTGAACTCCGCGAGGTAGCGATGGTAGTCTCCCTTCATCTTCAGGTAGAATACCTTGGCGTCGATGGCGGCGGCGGCGGGGACTAGGCGTTCGTCGAGGAGACGGAGGATCCCCGCGCAGATGTTGGAGAGCTCGGCCTCGACAAGTGCGCGGTACCCGCGCGCCGCGGCGGCGTGCCCCGCCGCTCCGCGCCCTTCCTCCTTCTGCTCGATGGAGGACACGATGCGCCAGGAAGCACGACGCGCCCCGATGACGTTCTTGTACGCGACTGAGAGCAGGTTCCTCTCCTCGACGGTGAGCTCGCCGGTCCCCGCCGCCGCCACGACCTTCTCCATGAACTCGACCATCTCCTCGTACCGCTCGGCCTGCTCCGCCAGCTTCGCCATGTAGACCATCTCCTCCCTCGTTCCCGCTGCCGCTGCCTTTGCCATCGCTGTCGACGATCTGGTGTGTGCGCGTGGGCGTGTGGCTGTGGCTGTTGCTGTTTCTCGGCGGAGTGGGTGGGTGCAGGAGGGGAAGTGGGGAGGAGGAGCGGCTGCGGTTTTAAAACGAGGGGAGGGGAGGGGAGAGCATCTACAACCGGACCCCACTTCCCCCAAAACGTTCGCGTGTGGCTGTTGCGGTTTCTCACCGGAGTGTGGGTCAGGGCAGTACCGGGGAAAATGGAGGCCCGGTGCAAAGTGGGAAAATGGGCCCTCGGCATAGCAAGTAACGATGAGGAAAACAAAATTATTATCGAGAATGTTATTTTCCTGCCGACTGTCAGTTAGCGAGACACACGTACGATCGATCGCTCCTGCCCACTCCCGTTCCACAATTCAGCATGTCTCGCTCGCCCGGATCAATCCCGCTCATTCCCTGCCCAACTCTAGGACGGCCATTTTGGGATGTCTTCTTTTTAATTTCGATGAAGAAAATAGAAGGGCTGGGGAGTCGGTGAAAAAAATAGAAGGGCTGGGGAGTCGGACCTAGGATATCCAGCAATATTAGGATTCAACCATGTGACGCTCCCGATTCAATCGTACACTAATCATGTACGCAAATGTGTACGATCAAGATCAGTGACTCACGGGAAGATATCACAACACAACTCTAAAACATAAATAAGTCATACAAGCATCATAATACAAGCCAGGGGTCTCGAGGGCTCGAATACAAGTGCTCGATCATAGACGAGTTAGCGGAAGCAACAATATCTGAATACAGACATAAGTTAAACAAGTTTGCCTTAAGAAGGCTAGCACAAACTGGGATACAGATCGAAAGAGGCGCAGGCCTCCTGCCTGGGATCCTCCTAACTATTCCTGGTCGTCGTCAGCGGGCTGCACATAGTAGTAGGCACCTCCAGTGTAGTAGGGGTCGTCGTCGAAGGTGGCGTCTGGCTCCTGGACTCCAGCATCTGGTTGCGACAACCAGAAAGAAAGGAAAGGGGGAAAAGGGGGAAGAAAGCAACCGTGAGTACTCATCCAAAGTACTCGCAAGCAAGGAACTACACTACATATGCATGGGTATATGTGTAAGGAGGCCATATCAGTGGACTGAACTGCAGAATGCCAGAATAAGAGGGGGATAGCTAGTCCTATCGAAGACTACGCTTCTGGCAGCCTCCGTCTTGCAGCACGTAGAAGAGAGTAGATTGAAGTCCTCCAAATAGCATCTCCAAGTAGCATCTCCAGTAGCATCGCATAGCATAATCCTACCCGGCGATCCTCCCCTTGTCGCCCTGTGGAAAAGCGATCACCGGGTTGTCTGTGGAACTTGGAAGGGTGTGTTTTATTAAGTATCCGGTTCTACTTGTCATAAGGTCAAGGTACAACTCCAAGTCGTCCTGTTATCGAAGATCACGGCTATTCGAATAGATTAACTTCCCTGCAGGGGTGCACCACATAACCTAACACGCTCGATCCCATTTGGCCGGACACACTTTCCTGGGTCATGCCCGGCCTTGGAAGATCAACACGTCGCAGCCCTACCTAGGCACAACAGAGAGGTCAGCACGCCGGTCTAAACCTAAGCGCACAGGGGTCTGGGCCCATCGCCCTTAGCACACCTGCACGTTGCGTACGCAGCTGGTGAGCAGACCTAGCAACCTCCATTACAAAGGAAGTTGCGTTAACGCGGTCCAACCCGGCGCGCGCCACTCAGTCGCTGACATCAAGAAGGCTTCGGCTGATACCACGACGCCGGGATACCCATAACTACTCCCGCGTAGATGGTTAGTGCGTATAGACCAAATGGCCAGACTCAGATCAAATACCAAGATCTCGTTAAGCGTGTTAAGTATCCGCGAACGCCGAACAGGGCCAGGCCCACCTGTCTCCTAGGTGGTCTCAACCTGCCATGTCGCTCCGCCACAAAGTAACAGTCGGGGGCCGTCGGGAACCCAGGCCCACCTCTACCGGGATGGAGCCACCTGTCCTTTCAGCCCCCTCACCAGAATCACTTGCGGGTACTCATCGAGCTGACCCGACTTTAGTCACCATCTGTACAGTATGTATGTATGTATGTATAGTATATACCCGTGATCACCTCCCGAGTGATCACGGCCCGATAGTATAGCAAGGCAGACTGACAAGGATGTAGGGCCAATGATGATAAACTAGCATCCTATACTAAGTATTTAGGATTGCGGGTAGGGTATCAATGACTGTAGCAACAATGACAGGCTATGCAACAGAATAAGAATAACCGAACAGTAACATGCTACACTACTCTAATGCAAGCAGTATAGAGAAGAATAGGCGATATCTGGTGATCAAGGGGGGGCTTGCCTGGTTGCTCTGGCAAGAAGGACGAGTCACCAACACCGTAGTCGAACTGGGGGTCGCCGACAGTCTCGGGGTCTATCGGAAAGATGTAACGGAGAGGAAACACAATAAATAACAGAGCAATCAAGGCATCACAAAGCGTAACAAGACAATACGCGGAGTTCGGTGTGCCCTAACGCGGTAGTAGGTGATACCGATGAAGGGGGGAAAACATCCGGGAAAGTATTCCCGGTGTTTCGTGTTTTCTGACAGATGAACCGGAGGGGAAAAGTTGTGGGTTTGATATGTTAGGGGTGTGTGGTGGACGAACAGGCTGCGTTTCTGGATTCGTCTCGTTGTTCTGAGCAATTTTCATGTAGAAAGTATTTTCATCTGAGCTACGGTTTATTTTATATGATTTTCTAAAGTTTTAATCATTTTTAGAATTTATTTAACTATTTAATTCTAACATTATCCAGAATAGTGCATGCTGAAGTCATCATGACGTCAGCATGACGTCAGCAGTCAATAGGGAGTTGACTGGTCAACCTAACGTGTGGGTCCAGTGGGACCCACCTGTCATTCTCTATTTAGTTTAATTAGGGTTTAGGTTAAATAGTTAGCTTAATTAGTTGTTTAGCTTAATTAAACAAAATTAATTAAGTTAATTAGTTCTTTAATTAATTAATTATAATTATTATTTTCAATTCCCTCTTTTTTTTGTAAACGTTCTGGGGGCAGGGCCCCACATGTCATAGGGCCATAGGGGCCCTAGCGGGCGCCGGGTTCGCGGGCGCAGGGGCAGCGCCCGAACGAGCGGACGGACAGGGCCGCAGCGGGTGGGTACGGGCGCCATAGGGCACCGACAACCACGACAGGCCTCGCCGGCGGCCACGGCGGGGCAGGAGAAGCAGGGGCGCGAGACGGGGTGCGGGGAGGCCAGGACGGGCGCGACGGGCGCGGAGCGTGGCCGGGCGCGGCAGGCCTCGTGGCCAGGGCGCAACGGGTGGTTGGCCACAGCGGCAGAGCAGCGGGGTGCAGGCGCGCATGCGTCGGCGCGCCAGGAGGGGGTCGGCCACGGCGCGGGCGCACGGGGCGCGCACAGCGTGCGAGCG